GAGGGGGGGGTGTGGGGGTATGGGGGGGATGATGATGTTTATTTAACTGAAAAGGCAAATTTTCTGCAGAGTTTTTACTGCTACCCACTCCCGGAAAAATCGGGTTTGTGTGACACTTACGAAAACTTACTGGAAATTGTAATTCCTAAATTTGGTACTATAATTGTCTTGGAATACTATTGATTAGTGAAGAGAATGCATTTTTCTGAATAGTCTAACAAGTCTGCATGTAGGCATGTCTGAATATAACTGAATTTTAGGACCAAATAATTATCATCTCCTACGCAATCCAGGAGATATCTCATACCTAATTAAAATTAGACATATCATTTATAAAAGATGGTGCTATTCTTCAGAACATCCTTGGCTATTCTTTATAGTTCTTTCACAGTCTACTGGAATATTTTATAGTGGCCTAGGCAAAAGAAAGATACATGCATAAGACTGAATAGTAGTGGATTATATAGATTCTTAAGGATTATATGTGATTTTTGTCATGCATTTTGTGAAATAAAAACATGTAGTACATTTACAAGAATTACTTCATAAGCAGACTGTTTTCTGGTTAAATTAACATACACTGCACACTTACAATTAGTAAACAATTAAAACATATAGCTGAACATCTTGAAACGGTTACAAAACAATCATCATTCCCACACCATAATAAAAGGCATTGAGGACCAACAAGGAAATAAATTTGTTACAAATACAGTGGTTGTTATCCACATTTTACATTCGATCATAATATTACAAAAATAACAAGTAAACTATTAGACTCAACACCACTTCACAGAAAGTTCTAAAATTATATTTAGGAAGCTAACTAAAAATTACTAAAATTGTATTACAGAAATAACATACTGAAATGTGAATTTAGGAACCATAATACAGTTCAAGATTTATGTCTAAGGCACTAGGTTGTCAGGAAAAACACCATTTTACATTTAGTTAAAAATGTTAACACCTGTCATATGAAGAAAAAAATGTGACTTTTATTAATAAAACTCTAAATAAAATTTTTTCTGCTACTATAAAATTCCCCTGTACTACACAGAACCTGAAGAGGGCAGCAAGGCCTATACATCCACCTAAAAGGCAAAGCATGATTTACAAGCTTGTTCTCTATGAAAATTTTCTGCAAGTAATTTTCTGTCCTCTAGCTTCTTGTAATTTAATATATTAGATACAGGGTTAAATTATCAAAAGCAACTTTGAACTAGAATATAGCATTGTTCAGCACCACTTCACTAATTCTTTATTTGAAAATTAAAACTATCTTCTGCTGCAACTGTTTCCAATAGTCATTATCAACACTTGGTATTTTAAATTATGTTTTAGAAGAGCCAACAGTTGACCTTTAACTAAACTGCCCAAGTTTGAGAGAGACAAACTCTCTTTTCCCTGCAAAAACCCCAGACATAATTGCTACCCTTGTTAAAATTCTTAATGCCAATCTATCAATCACATAATACAGAAGAATGACAGTATGCAGAAGATTTCTCATCTCCAAGTTGTTTTGTGTACTATAAAGGTACATTATGTCCTCTATGTATTGCTTTCTAATAAAAAAATAAAGAATTTAAGAAGGAATTTATCTTACAGACTACTTCAGGATTTCTATAAAACATACATCTTTAAACATGCGCACTGTTGGTTTGCAACCTACCGGTGCTACAGGTGCTAAATTAAGTAGTGGTAAGTAGTAAAGTCAACTAAGATAACTATAAAAATTAGAATCCTTACCCTAAACCCTCGATTGAGTCTGTCTTTCATAATGCCAATAAATTCTTTATAACTCAGCTGGTCATCTCTGTCAACATCAAAAATCTTGAACACTGTGTTCACCAAATGTGGTGAAAGCTTCACACCTGTGGCTACATACACAGCACGTTTGAATTCATCTGTACAAAGAGAACATCAGAAGAAAAAAAAACAAACCATTAATCCTACTTTGTGGACAACATATTATGAAATACAAGTCAACTTTTAACTTGAGTATTCACATTTAAACACTCAAAAAATAAGAAAAGGTGAAAATTAGGATGGAATTTCACAGTTCTAAACCAAGTAGTTCTCAACTGATACAAAATGATACTGCTTAATTGGTATCAATAATTTTACACAAAAGATAACAGTCAATACACTATCCTATATGCAATAACAAAATTAGAAAATCATATTATAATTAAACCTATCTTACATATATACTGATGGCATCTACTTAATTGACACAAAACCGAACCTAAGAAGCAGCGCGCAGAGAAAACAGTATACCCTTTTGGTAAGGCCACATGAGGTAGGACTATGCTGGTGTTACTATGTCAGACCCCATGAAGATGCTACTTGAGGACAGCATGCAAGTCTGACCACTTCACATATTGTTCACCTTGCACTCCCCAAGCATCTCAGCTGTTGTATTAAGGATTTTAGTCAGTACATACCTGCCTAGTTCTTTCAGCACCCACTTACTGATTTGTTCAAAAATCTGTCTAATCCCTCTTCGGACCTTCTGACACTGTTTCCTTCTACAACCTTCGTATAAGGCCAGATTCCAGACGCCCACTGTGTAAAGAAATGCTTTTGTTTGCTTTAAACTGATCTCTTATTGATGTCATCAAGTGCCTCTTAACTCTTGTATTGTAGGATTTGATGACCAACTATTCTGCATTCAGCTTATACACCACTTAAATGACTTTGTAAAGCTTTACCATATTTCTTACGATATGACTGAGCCTTCTCCTCTCAAAGCTGGAGTCCTAGCCTTTTTAGCCTTTTACTTGAGACATTAAAACTACAAACTAGGAATTACAAAACATTTTTGTATTTTTGTCAACAGTTCTGTATCATTATCAACAGATTTTTATAAAAATACAAATACTTACCTTGACCTATGGAACGACTTGCAAAATTATACATTTGCATTGCAATTGCAAAGTCTTCTAGGTTGTTCAAGAATTGGAAAAATGATCTAAACTCATCAAATGTGATACCCTAAAAAATGGAAGAACAATATGCACCATAAGAATTATCAGTAGTGATGACAACTGAATAAATAAACCTTGCAGTTACATATGTCTACTTCATTTAAGAATAGATACTACACCCACTGAAAAAAATAGAGATTTGTACTGAAAGTCAATAAAGCAAAGAATTGGAGTCTCCTGAAAATGCAAGATGTCTTTCCTCTTTGCCACTGCAACGGATAGCAATTCTCACCCAAAAAGCAGTCAAAAATATTGTTCCATTGCTTAAGGCAATCTTTAAGAATTCCAGGATTATTATGATACAACGATTGAGAATAAAAGTCTAGGTTTGTATGAATATTGAAGTATGTTTACTACAGAAAACCTGCAAACTGCTATTATATGTAAGAGTGTATGCTCACATAAATACATTGAATGAATTCATAAATACTTGTTATGATCTAACTTAAGCTCTGTACTTTTAAGGTGAAGTTTTTACATATCCAGATTTAGACACCAAAGTCTCTTCAGCTGATACTCCAAGCATCAAGTATTGCAGGGTTTGTCCAGGTTTTCAGAAAGTCTTTTGTATTTTGCCAGACTTCAGAATATCTTCTGTGAAAGTTTCTCTGAAATTGTTGTTAAACGAGCTTATTTCTTCTTTCCTTATATTTATTCTGCTTTTCTCTCAGCTACAAATCCAAAGACCCAATAAACTACCTCTAAATCAATTTTGAAAGAGACCTTAAACAGAGACTTTGAATTAAGCCAGGACCATTGCCTATCTCTCATTCTCCATAGCCTGCCAGCCATTCTGAACATGGGATGGCATTTTTCATCAAACCTTGATCTCCCTGGCCTCCTTTAACTATCACTCCTGGCTATTCTTCTGTCTGCTTTTATCCTTTTATCCTATTTCACTAATTCTCTCTGAAAATAAACCTGAAGACAATAGAAAGACCTGTGAGCCTTTCTATTCAAACTAAATTCTTGACCTATGTCTCTCCTCAAAGATATACGTAGTCATTATGGTATGGTGGAACACAGAAAACATACTGAAGTAGGTTTGTGGCAGAGGAGAAAATGACAGAGATTGGGCGTAAACCCATATGAGACAGCAAGTACTGTGGTAACTGTGGAGAGCAACATAATATTGTTAAAATAAAAGACTTCAATAGGCCTCTACCCACTTGAGATTTAAACCTCTGCTTAAGTGATCCTACCAAAGTTCTACTAAGATTTATAAACAGTTTGACTGGAGAGCTTAACCCATCTCCATCATGAATTCCTTTTCTCAACAAGCATATTTGTTCTCTGTTTCATCCTTTGCAACTGGGAGGAAACTCTCCCAGACACAAGCAGAACCATCTCCTCATTCCCCTTTAAATTTTAATCTTAAAAGCTTTATTTACTAATACTAACCAATTCTGTCTTCTTGTTTCATTGCATTTGACATCTAATAGTTTATGTCCAAGTTCCTTTTCTTGCACTCTGTTTAGACTGAAAACTCTCTGGGACTGGAATAATTTTGTTACATATTTGTGAAATACCTACATTAGTGAAACTTCAGTCCCCAGCTAGGACCCTCAGGTACTATGGCAAAATAGCAATAATCGAATATGGCCTTCAAAGTCTTGAGCTGACATTTTTACATTCACAACGATTTTTAAAAAAACCTTAATTTGTACCAGTTTGTCTGTAAAGATTCTGAATGTGGGACACTGTAAGAGCTCAGGCTACTGTAAAAATCCTGGCTCTTTCCATGTAACTAGACAGGAGATGATCAGTCTAGATGGAAAGTAGCCCTTGTGTAGGAAAGGCTGAGAGCCACTGGTTTACAAACCAGCCTTTTTGCAGCTTTTGTGTTTCTAGTAGTGATGAAAACTGCTGCCAATGAGTTGACACTGGAGATGAAGCAGGGAGATAAAGGAGTCACGCTTGCAGTCCGTGGCTAAACTGTACATACTCCACAACATTTTAGCAATGAGAAAAATATCTGGCTTCATTTAAGAGTTCTACAATTTCTGCTGAAATCATTTGCAATCATACATGTTTATTTCCTCTCAAGAAGAAACAGCAAAGGACACAAAAGAGGCAGAAAGGCAGGCAAAATGACACTATAAGAGAGTTGGGCATACAGCACTCTACTGTCTCTCTCCCTTCCTAGGACTGTATTTTGTTCAACTGTTAACTGTAATAACATTTCGTATTTGCCATATGTTTTGCATTTTGACATAGGAAGTTATCTACGTGTAGATATCCCAGAATCTTCCTACTGGAAACTATTTATTTCCTATGTAAAAGGAAGCTAACTTTTTAATTTATTTGGACAGATTATATTTTATTACAGCAAAGAAAACTGTTATATTAATGCACCAGTGCTGTTAAAAATGCATAGACTTTCTTTAGGAGCTGATATTTGTAGTGGTTCAAGATGCCAGCTTAAATGAATCACTGCTTGGCATATGGTTAGTAAAAGGGGGAAAACATCCTGTGAGCAGGCAGCATGCCAGCTGAACATTTTAATATGACTACAGTACACCAAATGATCATCATGTTGCTTTAGATGCTTCTACATACAGCACCCTGAAAGATTAACATTGCCAACTGTGAGAGTAGCTGCCTATTTACAGGCTAGACTAATTTTTCTTCTAAATGGAATCCTCTGATTTGTAATAGTATTGCAGTGTACCACTGTAATAAAATAGAGTACATTTTTTAATTTTCAAATTATAATGTTATTACAGGTGTAAAAGTGCAAACATATGAAAAACGCCTCCATGGCAATAAGAAGCAAAATCCCATTCTCAAAACCCTGTGGCCAGCACAAGAGATGTCACAGGGATTTACTTTTTCCACTGTACTGACAGCACATTTACCAAGCCAGTGATATGGAGCTATGGAAAATGGCAATGTCTTGTCTTACTTAATAGAGGTATAGCACATGATATACAGATACATGGCACAGTTCAAGTGCCAGGAAGTTCCTAGAATGCAGCATAAGCAAACCTCTGAGTGACACAGCTTTCTATGTGGAAGTTTTCCTTAGCTGATGGTCCCACCAGAGATCAAGAAGAGGAAACTACTGTGGAAGACTTGCTATCAGAACAGTGGCATGGGAAGACTTAGAGACAAACTTCAAAGAATACTTCGTTGTGTTTAAAAGAAAGTGTATATATATTTACTTAATCAACTTTACCTTTGCCATTCAAAGAAGTACTTCTCTATAACTATGACTGTTGTTATTTTTCAGTTACCCAAGTGATACAAGCCCCAAAGTGACTTTTATTTTCATATTTCCATATATATGGAAATCTTGATTTCACCCTAAACAAAAAACAGCTGGGAAGCATGCAAAAAGAGCTTTATACCATTTCTGTTGCACTGTCTTGGCTTTGAATATTGAAAGCTGTGCAGACCTTTTAGAGTAGTTAGAACTGAGTACTTCAGTGGCTAGACCAGGAACTCAGAAAGGGTCGGTGAGCAGGAACTCTGATCCCAATCTTACTGCTTCATCTTACACCTAATCTGGTGCAAAAGAGACAGCCCTCCTTTCCCTTTCCACTTCCCAGCTATATTTATCTCTCAGTGGACCTAACTGCTGTACGACCACAGGAAGAATCAGATAATCTAGGTATTTCAACAGAAAACTGATAATTTTTGGAGTGTGTGTCTATCAGGTCAGCTGACTGATCTTACTTACTCTGTAGACTGAAATTACAATGTAGTTTCTCAAATAATAAAAAACCCCAACCTGTCCAAACCGATTTACTACTTTTCTTCACAAGCTCTGCTGTTAATTCTGTTAAAATATATAGCTATTGAAAGAGTTAGATGTCTAGGTCAGATTAATCTGATCTCCTTCTGTAGACACAAACAGAAGGAGCGTATCCAAAACATCCCTTATTTGAAGGGCTACTTTTAACATTATCCTTTTGATTACCATTGATGCATAGTTGCCACTATATTTGTCTCAGATACACTTTTGACAACACATTTGTTGTTAAACAAATGAAGGACTATCTACCTCATGACCTTTACTATTTTGATTATCTTTTCTATCTCTTCAACCGTTAATAAGAACCACATAACCATCAATAATTATATACAAGCGATCCATCATTAAGACTCTAAAACAACTAGATACAGGGTGTCAATGTTATTTCTGAAGAGGCACTATTCCAGTGGCAGTGCAAAAGAAAAGTAAGAAAAAAAAGGTTTTTTAATGTCTCATTGCTAGAAAATTGTTCTTGTTCAAGTCTTACATTTTTTGCTGTTTAAATTTTCATGTAATACAAAGCTTTGTTATCTAAACTTCAAAAATATTACTAGCTAAATCCTATAGAACATATGTGCTATTTACTCTTCTACTTTTTATTTAGCAAGTAATCTGAAAAACATGAGACACACAGCTTATGATCAGAATAAAATCCTGGTGCTAATTAATTCAGTAACAGAAATTCATTCAGTCCAACAAGGCTGTTTTCATCTTGATGACACTGGGACTGGATGCTGTGGCCCACTGCTGTTCTAGCAAAACAATTACCTTTTCTTCAGGAATCCTACAGCGCATGTTTTCCAGGTAACTTGATGTATTTTCCACATTTGTATACCTCAAAAGAATGTGGGCAAAGTCTTCCTCACTGATGGTGTTCATCCCGTTAGAGTAGGAAAGGAATTCTATCTCTAGAACCTCAGTTTGTAGGTTATCCATAAATCTAAAGCACAAACATAAATATGAAGAAATAGTAATACTTTATATTTCTACTATGCATGTCTTTAAAAGACTCAGAATATAAAGCTGTCAGCATTATACAAAGTAGTTCCCTTTTCACAGCTCTGATGGTAAATCCCTTATCTATGCTGACGTATTTTCTAATCAGTACAACAATCTTAACTCATAGATGAAGTGGTTTAGTAAGGATTAAAATTACTTAATACTTACACTTCTAATTTACTTCTAGTTTGTGTTTGCTTAATTTTCTTCTTCAGTGGGTCACTGATCTTTATTTTTATATGCTAGAATGAAAATTCCATCATGGTACTAAATGAATTCCCAAAATTTATTCCCTATATAGTTACAGATTGTGATTAAACCTTACTTTTCTATCAAGTGAAGTATGATGAGCTCTTGCAGCCTTCCAATCTAACTTTTTTTTTCTTAATACTTCACTATTCTTATGATATTTCTATAAACTCTTCCCAACTTAACAACATATTTAGTATATTCTGGACACCAAAACTGGATAAAGTATAAAACCAGCTACATATAAAAAGGAAATGCAACTTCCCTGATTCTGCTTGATGTCCTAGTTACACAACCAAGGATGAAATTAGCTCTCTAGTCACAGTACTGCACTGGGAGCTCATGTTCATCTGATTGTCAACCACAACCTGTTACACTTCCCCGTTACAGGTTCCCAACAGTTCCCATCCTGTAGACACTGTCTGCAACGCTCCTTCCTAATAAATAACTTGACTTCTAAGAACTATGAGGAGCTCAAATCAAAAGGATGTCTAGGCAAAAGTATAAGTGCAAGGCAAACATACAATAGCACTTCTCTCACCAGTCCATAGTTTAATGATTTTTTGAGCTGGTAAAGTAGTGTTGAATAAAACTTGATGGATCCCTCTTTCACGAATATGTCTATGTTGTGACCTCTTTAGCATTCACAACATCTTACAGCAATAGATGGACATTTTAACTAGATGCCTTTTGAAAAAGTAACTTCTTTTCTGGTTCTTGTTTTGAACTCACATCAGGATTTCACTTGATGACACAGTTTGTGTATTATGTGCAATACCGAATACTTTTCATGACATATATAATTTTAAGGCAAAATACTTTGCAAACATCTGATTGATTAGAATGCACAGTTAAGTGATAACTATAAAGACAATAGGTGTTGGGAGTATTTACTGAGGAAACAATAACCAAATACTATATCTCTTTCAATCACACAGAAAAATACAGTTTTATAGCTCTGTTTTTAATGGCACTTTCCCTATATTTTTAAATTCTATTTTAATTGGTGTAATAATTAAGCCAATAGCTTCCACTGTGCTTTCACTTTTTCCTGAAGAAGGTTGTTCTAAGGTGCCTACACAATATCTTCAGAAAAATCTTTACATTTAAATATGTCCCTAAGAGCAGACATGCACAAAAAGTTTTTTTTTTTAAAGCAGTGACAAACGGGGGGTGGTGGTGGTGATGTGTGGATTCAAAACCAAGAAAAAAGTTCCTACATACCAATAAGGACAGGGTTGGGGTATAGATGCACAGAAGTGCTAACAAAATTTGCAAATGCAGCAGCATTAGTACAGAACTTCTTATTGTTGGTCCACTTATTATTTTGCTCTTTGTATATATAACACACACAAAGGGCATATAAAATTTATATACATGTCTGTATAAACTATGTATATAGTCATATAATACACATTAATTACAACAAGCAGACAAGTATTTTTTTACAAGGAATTAATAAAGTTGAGACTCACCTATAAAAATCTTCAAAGTTCAGTTCAGCTTTTCCTTTCTTGCCAAAAAAGTGTACAAGCAGTGTAGTATCTGACAGTGAACTTGAAATATCATCGGCACGCTTAAATATTAGAATAAAAAAAATTAAAGGCCATGATTGGATCAGTTACAGAAGTATAATCTGAGAATGCCTGTCATCACAATACACCTTTCTATTAAAAGAGTTTGTCTTTTATGTTTACAGTCTTAAAAAAGACTTTAGTATTAAAATCCACTAAATTAATTTAGTCATGCAATTTTCACACAAAATAGCATTAGGCTGTTAATTGCGTTTAGTAGAAAACACTTAAAACAATACAATATAATGGAAGCTGCAATGAAGAGGGAAAAAGCATGAAAAATAAAACCAGAAACTCTTGAGAAAAAAAATGTTCTAGTCAGTTGAGGTAAACTATAAAAATAACTCCCTTAGTACACAGTCTCCTTTCCCTTCTACTATGCAACTACAAAGAAATTAAAGGGCATTACTTCATATACTCTTATTTTATACCTTAAAATTATTAAGTATGGGATTTTATTCCAAAACCACTCACATCAGTCAGGTGTACTTTATATGATTCTTTTCTACAAGTAGCAAATGACTACAGTTTAAATTTTATTGCCCAAATATACTTAAAACAACAGACTTGTAAGAAATTTTGAAGTTTGACTCATTCTTTTAAGAATGTTTCTCATCTACCAAGTATGTGGTCTCTGCATCAGACATGAATCTTTGAACATGTACTAATACTTTTTCCTTAATAAATAGTTATCAACTTTGAAGGCACAGAATTAGAATAGTAAAACCAACTATTTTTGACCATGTGTAATAGCAAGAGTTGCAAATACGAAGACACACATATAAACAGAATTAACTATCATCAGTGTATAAACAGAAGTAACTATCATCTATGTATAGTGATTGTGCAACATTCCACTTTACTACATATTCGTTATCTTTAACTGTTGTGTATATGCATTGATTTTACCTTTTTTACAAAGAAACTCTTGATAGACTGAAGAGCTAGAAAAATAATTCAGTAATATAAGACTCTTAAATAAGCCGTAGTATTCCACCATGGCAATGTCCTTCTGGCATTAACATGCCTCTGCCAACATTTGAAATTCAAAAATTAATATATTTAGTCTCCTTGCTGCACCTGCCTAGGGAGAACCTTCTGTCCAAGCTCTCATTTTTCTTACAAGAAAAGCAAAGAGTGGGAGCCAGTAGTCTCTGCTCTTCCCAGGCAAGCTACCACCCATCAGCAACACCATATTTTTGTGGAAGCGTGCTTGCTGACTCTACTGTTGAAGTACAAAACAGAATACACAGTAGAGAAACCTATTAAGAGATTAACAGTACTAATTTATCACCATAATGATAGATTATAAACCTATGGGATTTACTATAAGTATAGAAAACTGTTTATACAGATCTATAAAGGTCTGCATATACAAACCTGCAAGCTTCACTCAGAGTCCTGTAAGTCTGACTTTATTTCATAACTGAAGAGGCTATAAATTTATAACAGAAGGAGAAACTCTAAATGAAGCAACTAGGAAGAAATTTTGAACAGTATGCAGTAGTTTGACATCATGTACCATGAAAAACCATTTCATATCTATATTCTCTGAAATATACCATATTAATTTCAAATTTACATACTGATGTGTAAAAAATGTAAAATGCAATATCCATTAAGAGCATTTATGTATCAACAACAAGGAAAAACATGAGGCAGTAACAATACAAATCCTTTCCTTTCAACATCCAAGAACTAAAGATATGAGAGAGACTTTTCTGTACTTAGTATATTAGGACTGTCAAGATTGTATTTCAAGTACTCCAGCTTCCTGTTTATTCTCATATTCTTCTCCAGGGAGAAATAAGATGACGTCGTGTATATATCGGTAGGGAGATATTTCATGTCCTTCAATTAAGACAGCTCTGCTCTTCAAGTGAGCAAACTAATTCAGAAAAGTAATCACTATTTGTCTTTTAATATTGTTATCCTCCACTACAGGACACAATATACTGAAATGCAGATACCCTGATTTCTTATGTCTTTTAAGCAATTAAATCCCTAAGCACATTCAATTTCCCTCAAGTACACTGGAAAGATATCAAATGTTAAATTACAGCCTTTCATCTTGCAAAAACGTTTCAAAACCTTGGACTTAGGTTGCATCCACCTATATCTAAAGAACCATTTAAAAAAAATACAATCTGTAAGTCTTTTCACTATTCCCATTTGGTCAGCCTCAGTAAATGAAAAAAACCCAAACAAAAACCTCACTACAGAAACTCAACCCAGTATGCTTCTCTGCAGAATTGCAGGCAACTGAAAACTATTCCCATGCTCCTTCTGCATTGATAGCATTAAATAAATTCTTCCTCTTAAGGGGTAAGGATAAAAACAAAAGCCTTCATAATTTATAACTATTTATTGTTCATAATAGAATGAATTTTGTATTTTAGATCAGTGAAAATGAAATGACCACACCTGTTTCTATATATATGAATACAAGCCTCTATTTTGATCTAATATATATTGCAGTCATTTAAATGAGAATAAACCTCTACACTAACTGTAATACAGATACAGGTAAAGTGACAAACAGGAGACACAAGTGTTTCAGTCACCTTATTGGCTTGCTGCTTAATGGCAACATCTTTTCTTCTCAATTTTCTAAGCTGAAGAGCAGTAAATCTATTTTTTTATATATATTCAGCAAAATTAATTTCAAGCTTTTGATTGCAGAGGGTTGACTAAAAGTAAGTTACACTCATGAGCAATGGTCCACTCATAGCAACGTATTCTGAGAATGAAGTATGTATATTATGCTTTGAATTAATAAGAGCTTTCTTACTGCAAGTCCTTGATTTTTCAATAGTGATAACAAATCTATTGATTTCCAGTTTCATTTAGTAATTTAAGAATAAACCACAAACTGAATTCAGTGATAACTGGCTTATTCCAACAGGATGGTGTAGTTGCTAAATGACAAATAGCAGAAAGAGTACTGTAAACTGCCCTAGAAAGAAATTGGATGTGATGAATAACTTCCCCCCCACAAAGAGACCGTAAGTTGATTCCCACAACAACCAACCTTATTTACTTTCCTTTTCAACTTACACAAGGCCTTCTCAAAAGGCTATGAAACAACACAGACCCCAGTGTTGCCTAACTTTATGCCACTTACTTAGTACACATGGCTATAATATTATGCAGATGTGAGAGTACCTAGGAGAGATAAGAATATGGATGAAAGCCAGCTGGCTCAAACTTAATCCAAGCAAGATAAAGATGATTATGTTGAGAAGTGGGAAAAGGTCAGTGGAGCAAATGCAGGACATGATTTTTCTTTATAAAATGATTTAGAAGTGAGCAGAGATATTTTTTATACATTTTACAGAAAATTTAAATCATTGTTTAGTTTAGCTGCTTGTAGTTACAGATTGTAGTTACAGATATTAGTCTGAGGCATCAGAAGTAAAAAACCTCTCTCTCTTCAAATTAAAGGTGTGTAGAGATTACCAAACTTAAGTCCACCTATACTTGGGACTGAATTTATGCCAGCTAACTGTAGATTAAGATGACAGTTAATTCAGAAAACTCAGTGCCCCAAGCTCCTTAAACAGTCAATGAAAAGAGTGGCCCTCTCTCCCCTCTATGTCTCCCTTAGCTGACTAGACAAGAACACTGATGTTCTGGGTTTTAAAATTTGGTGGAATAAATAAGGGCTAATAACTGGACTAATCGTTCAGGGGCTCATCAATTTAAAAGCAAGCACCGAAAGGCTGGGTATACTGCTTTATTGCAAGATTACTATGAACGTATTATTACTATGAATATTGCTATAAATATCGGTACAAAACTCAATTGTGTAACACTACATTTTGGTTTGTTCAAAGGCAAATGAACTCAAGCTGAGAGAGGTACAGAGAAGGCTTATTTGATACCTGTGAAATGTACGTTCTACCTTAAGAGAAAAATCAAAGATCCTGTGGTGTTTAGCCTATGGTAATTAAAACTGAGGGCTATGACAGTGTTTATAAACACAACCATGAATAAAAGATTAACACTAAAGAAGAAAAAGCCCTATGAAAATTAAGGGACAACAGACTGGTATAAAGGGACTATGAGTAAATTTAGCCTGGAAATTAGAAAAAGTCCGTCCAAGTCCTCAGGTTATTCAATACCTTCTGCAGAGGAACAGCAGGGACCAAACACTAATTACTTTTAATATGGAGCACACATTGCTTATGAAGCAACAAAAAAGATTGTTTTACCCTGGAGGTCCGTTTCAGTTCCTTGTTCTTTCTCATTATGATCCTGCTTATGAAGCATGGGACTTGAGACCAGAATCAGTGGGGAGCTGCTGTATGTCCTTTAATGCCACAACCAGCAGAGCAATCACCCTCACTGTATGGGGCACAGAAAAGCCTAAATGATCTAGTTTTCTGACCGTCTTAAATGATCAATACAAATAAGTGTCCTAATTATCTAAAAGCGGACCATGAAACAAGAATCTTATTAGAATTTAAAGCACTATGGAAATTAATTTGACAGCTCAGTGATATTGCTAGTCCTCCATAACGATCATGTAACATTAAAAAAAGATTGACTAATGTTTTGGTTACCTTAAAACATTCCTGGTTTCATCCAACAATTAGAACAATCTTTGCGTGATACTGTTTTTCTGAAGATAAGCTCTGATAACATACATAAAAAGCACATTAAGGACCTAAAGATTAAAAGCTTAAAGGGGTGCAACTCTCATTAAAGTTGTCATACCACTGGACCAAGTCTAAATGACAAAGTTTTCCTGAATTACTCTCTGTGAAGTATTGTCACTATTAGTGTTAGAAAATGCTTCTTATAGTAAGGACTGAGGAGGATTTGATCTTCCAACTCTTTCAAAAAGTAACTTTGCTTTCACTTGGAAATAACAACTTTCAATTATCGCACTGCATGGTGCCAAATCTATTTCATCTGAGAACTTTCAGGTTTTAAAAAAAAAGTAATCAAATGAAGAGAAGAAACAAAGTGCATAAAATAGGAAAATAATCAGAACAGAAATAAATAAAATAGCAGTCTGTTTATGGACCAGGGACAGAGGTTGTCTTATACCTCTGCAAGGTCCGAAAAGAGTGCTTGGCTTGTGCTACGTCTCAAAGTATCCCAATAGCTTCTGGGGACAAGGTCCTCTCCTTCTGTTTTAAGGACCTGCAGAAATTTCAAGAAGCACAATTGTTTGAAAACCAAAGAACAATAAAACAACCGCTTACAGACTTTAAAATCTTTTCCAACTGATCTTCAAAAGCATGGCTTGATTCTTTTGCTTCTACACAGGGAAATTTCTACCCAGTTACATGACACTTTGTAAATGAAAGGAACACTCGTCTGTTACAGCTGTTTGCTTATTACCTGTAACTTAGCTGTGCCAAAAGTATCACCAGACTCCACTTTCCCAAACAAAATAGAGAAAGTGTAAAGTGAAAATATTTATCAAAAGTACACGTGAAAATATCCATCTAAACTCAGTATTCTGCTGTTGTTTTTCCTAACGATTTTGTTTTGCCAAAAAAATATTTATATACTTCAGAAATTTGTTGTCTCATTGGTCAAAATATAAATATCACCATACAACTAGTTATATGAAATTAATTCCATCCAATAATCAGGATGACATCCTTGCAATAATAAAGAAATGCAAAAACCAAGCCAAGCCTAATAAGTGCAACTTCAACTGTTAACATATCTATCAAGAAAACACTATGCAGATCTGATGATCAAACTTACCTTGTTTAAACAGAAAGTAAGTGTTTAATCTCTCCAAGGAAAATACGTTTACCTTTTTGCTCTGAAATGTTTCATTTTTGGAAGCCTGAAAAATCCTCCCTTATTAAAACAGGCCTTCCTTTATCTTGCAATTAGTCTTGGAATATCTATGCAATACATTTCTTTTTTTTTTTCCCCCAATTACAGAATCATAGAATCATTTATGTTGGAAAAGACCTTTAAGATCATCAAGTCCAACCGTAAACCAACGCTTGTCTTGAAACAAAAAGGACTGTGCCAGACATCTTACTACTGGGGAAAAAAACCCCAACCAAACAGAATAGAATAGAATAGAATCATTAAGTTTGGAAAAGACCTCTAAGATCATCAAGTCCAAATCTAGGGGAGGTGATCTTAAGGACAGCAGAAGTCTATTTGAACTTGGTTAGGGTTATTGCAACTGAATGAATTTTCCTCTTTCTCTCCACAAGTTAATCTAAACTAAGTCTCCTACTTCCATGGCTCCCCACTCACATCCATCTGGGCAGGCGAGAGGAAGGCAGTGAGTTTGATCTTCCAACTACAAATGAAAACCATTTTTTTTTGACTTAGCACATACTGTTTGTTCTCTTAGAAGATTTACACTGCAGTGTGATGTGTAAAACCACATTGTTATTATAAAGAATACTGTAGAGTTGAAGGTTTATTGTCTCTATGTATTCTACATTATGTCAACACGTTATATGTACTGCTTCTATATTGCATACTTCCTCCACTAACCAATTCAACTCAGCTCTTTCAGTAAGTTGTCATCAGAGAAACATGACAAACTACCAGGAATTATACCCATGCTTAATGTATATTATACTTTTGTTTCCTTTTTGAAAAATTCTGGTTTTATCTTTCTCTTATTATGGAGTAACAGTTCCTGTGCCGTGGCCACAGTATTCTCATACATAACTCCATTCAGTCCTAAATTGCTAAACTTAAACAAATTTGTTTACTTCAGTGTGTACAGGATTAGGTCCTTAGCAGTTTCTTTTACACTTACTTATCCCTTTGATGTTTACTGGGTCATGCAAATGAACAACACCTCATTCTTTTATGCATACAATTATGTAATTATCTATTTCAAGTATTCACTGAATTTGTTCTCTTATGGGAGATTTACTTTAGCCAATGGAATTAGTACTTCTGGGAGCGAACATTTTATTTTCTTTACATGCATCTCATCATAGTTATCATGTTCTGGTTGGCATTTGGCTAATGAAAGCACTCATGCAATACATGCTGAACTAGCCTCAACACACAACTGCAGTATGCACCAGAACATGACTTGAAAGAATTAACCTATGCAAATGAAAATACAAACATATTTAACCCATTTTAAATGTCACTGTATGCACTCTATGGCTCATAGACCTTGACGCTTCTCAAAAAATTAGAACTGTTTTGAAGGATGAAGTGAGGAGAAGGGCCCAACACAGCACTTTGGACTATCCCAGACATTTTAGGGGTGCATCTCCTTGGTCTTCAGTATCTTCAACTCCCCAGGACATCAAGGGAAACTCAAAAGGCTGCTACACGTTTCAGTAGGAGAAATAGAAACCCAAAGTATCAGTTTTCTGGGCTGGGGGATTTATCGGATACTGTGAATTCCTACACATCCGAGTCTCCTTTGTGTGGAGATCTCCAGTCAGGTAGCTGGAGAGCAGAAAAGGATGCTGCACACCTGGGCATCATCTTGATAAAGAGTTTGGATGTGGCTGGAGTCTAGAAGGAGATTTTTTTACTAAAGCTGAAAATGATTATATGAGTAGGAAAGCCTAACTATTTTGGTTTCAGTTTAAAATAGGAGGCTGCACAGGAATATGGCAACCACTGTACAGCATCTTTCACTGCAGTAAAGCCTGATCTAAAATCCATTGAATCATAAAGCCTCACATTTCCCACTACATTATTCTCACAACATTGCAGCATCTATATCATGTCACTGCACCTTTTCATTCAACAGACTTCCTTCCTGCAGATTACCCAAACTGCATGTGCTGACTTCACAGGAAATAAATCTGTGCATTCCTGTGAATGACTACATAAACAAACAGACTTTAAAACTGGAATTTCACTAGCTATCTAATTCTTGTAGGTTCCCTCCCCTCACTTTGAATATCACAATAATCATACAAATCCAAGTTTAATTCTTCTAGTTTAACATCAAATCAATCTTTTTTTACAACAGTTTTACTTCTGCTGTGATCCAAAAATTAACCAGGTTATGATGAAGACATTAAAAACTCCAGAACATCTCTCTCTTGCTGACTCCCTCTCCAACTCCTCAAAAATGATCGAAAATAAGTTTACTGTCACCTAAATAATACAGTGACTATTTTCTGTAAAATCCTATTCTAGTTCAGCACTGAAAGTTCTTATTTATTTGTTCTGTTAAGTGAAGCACAAAAACATAAAAGCTATCTTCTGGTTTCTTTTTTAGGGGGGCAGGGTGGGGTGGAAACAAAGAGTTGAAGGATCCTTTAGATTAATTATTACTTCACATTATACACAAGGAGACAAGACAGACCCGGATCAAATGACTCATGCAGGATGACTTGATTTACATACATTACTTAAAAACAAGTCTATGATTTATTAAGATATATTTTGTCCTTTTCCTTAAAAATATTGTTTCCTTCATCTTATATAAATAGAGAGCGCAACCTTTCCTCCTGGTAGGCTTGCCTGTTTCAAAATCCATGCAACAAGCATGCACAATCTTTTATGCGAGTAAAGATTCATCACATTTTTACTGATTAGCACAAGTAATTTAGTTGATGAAAAATATAAATATAGTAAATTTTCTTATAGCATATTATCTCACCTCACTGGTGAAGACTACATAAATTGAAAATAATTAGAGTACATACACTGTTAGTAGAAGTATGATATCCATAAAGTTGAAGACGCTGACATACAGCAAAAATGGGCCAAGCCAAGTATCACATGTCAGAATGAAGCCAAAAGGAGGGGAAGGAAAAAAAAAAAGACAACAAAATAGGTTAATACAAGCAAAACTTTATTTTACATATTATTAGATTTTTTTGATTGGTTTTAAAATGACAGTAAAGAAGAAATGGCTTATCTTCAATCTCATTCTTCAAATTTTCAAAAGAGAAGTACAAAGTTGCAGAGATTACTCTCAGGAGAAATGTTCCATTTTGCAATCTTTACTTTTTCCAAAAGCTCTCCTTTGGGTGTAAGTTTCCTTTGTTCAGAATAAACAGTGTGTGAGAGATTCAACAATTGACCTACAGTTTTGAAAAGTTGAGAAGGATAGGTCTCTCTGGGTGGGAAGAAAAGATCCCTTTTTATACTCAGGGAAGGTTTAAAAAGTATTAATGCTTGAAATTCAAACTTCCTATGGTTTCAGGGACAAAGATCTCAGATCAAACATCTATGGTCCCAAAAGGATAATGAACACTATGAGAAGCTTTGCATATATGTCAAAACGTTTCTTACAATAAGGAATTTTTGCCATAAATCTGCAAATTGCAAATGAAGATGTTTTTTTCTGCTGTGCGCTTGACAGAAACTTGTCCCTGATTTTTATTTGTCCAACAATAAAATAAGTTCCTGCTGCTGCTGCCATCCTCCAGACAAACCACCACAGACTTGTCTATTTCTGACTTACCTTTCTTATGCACATAAGAAATGCAAATTTGACATAAGAATAAGTATTCAATATGCCACAAAAATGTATTCAGATAATATAAACAACTAAAAACATTTTGCATTGGTCATAACAAGTATTTAATTAAAAAAATTAAACCTGAATATAAAATCTAAGTTCACTTGTAACATTTCACCAGCTATTTTAAAACTATTATGTTAATAACAAGCATCAGGATCAGTATGTCTACATGAATAGCTTCAGTTAGTTATGAAAGCAGGAGTATAAACTGCAGTTTAGGCTAAATATTGCTTTTTTTCTATATATAAAGTTATGAACATTCTTTTAATGACATGAATTTATTGTTTAAAAAAAACCTGAAAGTGATTAGTGAAATATATACACACACAACTTTGTCCTACATCAAAGAAAACCAACTAACTACCAGCTGTAACTATTCTAATATTACTTACCAGCATTGCACGTTTTTCTTCATCTCCTTTTCTTTCTCTCTTCTCATTTTTTTTCCTGAAAATCTCTTGTAGCTAAAAACCAAACCATATTGTTCTTACTTAGTTTTCAGGCTATTTCACATGCCTAACAATCATTCATTGTGAGCAACACTGCAAACAGTATTAAAATGTAGGTCTTTACTAAAATATCAGTGTTTCATTGATGCCTTATTGTTCATATTCATGCCTTCATGTTGCTTCTGTGACCTTAACCACCACACAGAAAGGAAAAAGGAAATACTTTTTCCACAAAGTAAGGCTAATGATTCTATTTGGGAGCACAATACTAAGAACATCCTATTTAGCTCTACATTTTAGTCAATCCAGCCTATACAAAAAGGGGGAGTTCCAGCCTTTTTCACCACCTCTAGGCACATCCTTTCTTGTTGGGTACTAATTAGTATCTGTGTGGCTATGTAGTCAGATGGATCAATCTTTTTTATTGTTAGTTTCCAGCCACATCAGTTCTCAGTCCTGCTGGCACAAGGGAGGGGTGGAAACACCTGGTGGGGGTGAAACATTCCCCTTCAGCAGCAACAAACTACTACTCAAGAGTAATTTATCAAGTACCCTTTTTTTTCAAGTCTGATCAAAGAATACCTTCAGGTCTTGTAAGATACCCTTTCACAACTTTCTCTACATTAAGAGCTTTAAACATGACTTCTGAGAAAACCTCAAATACAAGATTTAAAACATATAGATTCTTGAGCATATTTATTTTTTGAAATTATAAAGTCTTCAGAGTAAGAACTGGTCTGTACTTATCTTTCTTTGTAAGTATCTGTTTTATTTAGATATTTTAATTTATAGTAATACTTTTTAATAGTCCCAAATAATTAGAAAAAGGTGTCACAATGTTTACTCTTCACAGCAAGAGAGAGCAGTATTAACTATGATGCCATCTGTATCTCTATCAGTGAACTTCAGCTTTTCAAAAATTGCACGTGAAAATATTGTACTGCCACTTGTAGCATTTGCTAATCTTGAAGTGGGCTGGAAAAAGAATAAACACTGTGGCTGACAAATTTGTCCTATCTAGAAGATGGTATTTTCAGAACCAAACATCATGGCATACAGACACAATTGTGGCAGTCACTTCAAAGACCCCATTTTACCTACCAGAAGTCTGATAAAAACCTGATACTGTAATGACATGCACACAGAGATCCCCAGGGATTGGAATGTGAAAGATAAAGTGTGTGTGATAAATTTTGCAAGCAAATTTTCCAAATTTAATTTCAGAATACCATATTTCAGAGAAGGCGGATGACTAAGACAAAGGGATCAGCAAGCTCTACTGCAGGGGTATGACAACATTGAAATAAATGAATACAGTGTTTAGCAATTAAATAGCAAATGCATTTATAAATAACATTTTATGAATTTCCAAAATTGACTACTGTGTTCTGGGATTGCCTATAAGGCAAATACGGACCAAAATATTGTGTGTGTCACTGTATCTATTTTTGAGTATGAGATCAATTTACAAACCTTGGTATGTTTTTTCCAATTTTTTGGAAACCTGCAGGCACAAATTACTGTAACCTATGCTGACAAGGGAAAAGTCATGATAGGACATTTACTTGGATGGCCTAGAGTATTACACAGTTTGCAACCCAAAACTGTGGAAAGAAGAAAGGTAAATGAACAGAGAGAATTAGAAAGAAAATACCTTGTGAAAAGTGAATTGACAAGCCATCAAGTAGGAGAGAAGAGTGGCAGTAATTGAAAAACCAAAAAAGATCAGTAAAAAGCAATGCATCCTTGGATGCATTTCCCTTGCCACAGAGGCAAAGGGAGTAGGATTCTGTTGCATTCATCATTAAAGCACTTGCTAAACTTCTGGAAATGGATCTTTTGTTCAGAAGGAGTGCTATAGGATACCAGCGAGTAGAAAAGTGAATGCAAAAAGGTCTAGGAGTACTTTCATAGGAACATTGTTTGAAACAGGATAATGAGACTGACTGCTGAAAGCAGCAAAAACAAGATCTCCTGTAACAAGGCAACACAATCCTTCTGTTCTCTGACCTCACCCCTATGACATAAGCAAAGAAGAAAGCATAAACACGATGGAATTAGTTTACAAAAACACTAAAGCTGTTATCAGAAAAATTAAGTATTTTTCAACTCTTCACTACACGTACTCTTCAAGAATCACATAACATGTGAACCCTACACCAATCTCTTCAAAGCCTCTTCATTTGCAAAACTGAACAGTATTAACTATACTTCCAATTTTGTGATGGCTGACTGTAATCAATGGAGAAGTATTTTGCAAAGGCTGGATATAGTTCAAATGGTAACACTTACAGTCTCCTGCTTCCAGGCACACAGGAGATGATGCATACCCAAGCAAGGTGAGTGCAGATGCCAAATGTATATTCTGGGGCCAGCTCTATCACAGCTGCAGCATCACTGAATCAACTTTTATTTTCATATTTACTTTTATTTACATGAACATTATCTATCTGCCTATCTATCTATTTTAGACTTTCTCACTTCAGATCTAACATTCTGACTGATGGGTTTTGATCTAATTTTTGAAGTGTCACTGACATGATAATCGAGCAGAGTTACAGTCAGGTTTAATCTATAAAAATTTGTTAAATACAGTAATAGGCAGACAGCAATATATCTAATGTTTGAAAATTCTCCTTTCTTTCTTCTATCCACCAAGTCTGGTAACAGAAAAAGAATAAGAAGAAATTTTTATCAAGGACCATGACAAAACAAATAAAAAGCAGGAGGTGAAGAGGACTACAAAAGCATAGTTAGAAAGCAAGATGCAATATTCATAGTTAAACGTCCTCGCTTCCCGCCTTATATACTTATTTGATTGCATTTTCAGCATCAGTTTCTGAAAGAAAAAGCCTCCTGCTTCAATTTCCTCCCACTTAGCCGTTGTAATACAAGCTTTTTTTTTTCTTTTTAAAGTTGTCAGTCTATTCCACCACATTCTGTTTTACTGAATCATGTAAGACTTCCCCCCCCTCTCTATTTTTCCTTTGGCCAATTAATCCAATGTTTGCTGGCTTCTTCCCCCGACTGGAGGACATGGTTATTAGGAATTAGCAAATATAAGGATGTGTACATTTAATATTAGAATACAAAAAATGATTAGCATGCCACAATTTGCAAGTGGTGACAGCTTCCAAAATAAATAAGACCTGTTCTGCTTAAGCTACGTCACCAGAAAACAAGCCCCCAGATCTCAGACCTCACTTGCTTGAAAAGGACAATTGAGGGAAGTTCAGTGTGTTGAGGAGAGTTTCTTTCACATTTCTGTTTTCCTTAGGTTAGCATAACTTATCTGAATCGAGCCTTTTACCTTGACTTGAAAACAATTAAGAAACAGCACACAGGAAATTAGGGTGTCTTCATTTTAAATAAATTGTGGTCTGACACTTAAATCCATTCCATCTGTCTTTTTCATTCTTTATATTTTGTTCCATCTTCTTCTTCAGTCAGTGGGCTTTTTTTCATATATATTTACTGTATTTATTTTAAACTCAACTGCACAAAAAATGTATGAAGATAAGAACTGATGTCTTTTTACAAACATCTGATTCAATTCTTATAAATATTTTTAATTCTATTAATCGGCTGTACTTCTTCAGTAGAAAATACAGGCCTTGTGCAGTCTTCAGAAAACTTGTCTAAACCACTAACAACAAAATTTTAGATGTTAATTTCTAAAGAAATGTAAAAACTATGTTTGCCATAACCTAGTGTTTCAGTGCAGTCCCAAAGACATCTCCTGCATATGGACATTACCAATTTAGAAAACTCTGATTTATACTGTATTGTGCAGTTTGTTAATGTAAAGCCACATAGTCACTGTAAAATCAGCAGCCCCAATGTTGAGTGGGCAATCTTCTGCATTTCATTTTTTTTTTAAATGATCAATTTTTTACTTCACCACTGACGTTCATGTAGAATAGCATTAATTACTCCTCTCATTTCTTTTAAAATCAGAAAATAAATGAAATTAACATAAATCTGAAATAACCCTCTTGTTCCAAGGCTTTTTAATTTTAGACTTGTCAGTGCAAACATCATTCTCCCGTACTTAGTGGATCCCATCACCTGAAAACTTATGCAGTATTTGAATTTTAAGATGCAATTATCAGATTTATCATGATTAAAATCAAAATATAGTGGATGATTTAAGATTTTTTGAAAATTTTTGGCTCACGTGCCAAATTCTTCTTAGTGCACAAATCTCAATGACATGTGAAATAAGCTAATTTTTCTTTCAAAGTCTGGACCTTTCAGAACTGTTTAAATTTCTAACCAGAAGAAAAATAAACTCTCTGCTTAAATAATTAGTAAGAAGAATTTACAGAACTGCTTTTTCCAAGCAAGAAACCGAGTAAAGCTCTCATTTGAAAAATACTGTAATTCAAATTTGTTATGTAACAAATCCTTGGATGCACCACAACTACTGCGAAGTTCTAGATGTCCTGCCAACTGTTCCAAAGCACATGAAAATTCTTCAGCTCAAAGTCAGTTTTGCTATCAAAAATATTCTCCTTAAAAAGAAATCACTGAACCCCAGTTTAGCAAATTCCTTCAGTGTATGCATTTCATGGGCTGAACTAGATATATGCACAGTATGTTTTACTTTATTACAAATCTTGTCCAAAACAGACGATAGTGCCACATTATGTCAGTCAATATTTTAAGGTCACCTAGGATTATAAGAAGAATGAATAACAAAGTGAAGTGGTCTCCCAGGAAAAGATTTCTTTTGCAAGTCCCTCCATCATTATGGCAATCAAATAATTCTGCTGACCATTGATACAGCAATATTATTTTAATAGCCTAATTATCTCTGAATGTAGTAGCAATTAAAAAGATCCAGAATAAAAACTGGAATTAAGCTTCAAAAATCATTATATACAACACACCAGTGCACTATAATAAGGAGCTACTATTTACAATTTACATTACCTTGCATTTACTATTTACATTAAAAAAGGCAAACAAACAACTACCTTCAGTGAAGAATAGCTCATTTTCTCATGATTATTGACATCATCATGAGCCTCAATCCAGACCAATATATGACTTTCAAGATGACATCAAAGTATTCAAAGACTGAAAATATACATACCACTAAGAATTCCTTTTTGTCCACCATCTCATTGCCATCAGTATCAAACATGTTGAAAGCGATTCTAAAACCTGCATGTGGCTCTGCCAAAAAAAACCCCATTCAATTATTTATTTGCTTGGAAAGAAAGCAAATATAAAATTCTAAGAAATTATTTGGTGTCTGTTCATAAAAGCCATATCCTCAACTAATTTAAATTAATACATTTGTGTACATAGTAAATGCAAACCATAACATCTGTGAAACAATATTATGCATGTTATGAAAACAGAAGGCATGCTCACAAATTCATAGATTAGGTGAAATAGACATTAGAAATAGAACATGAAATATCCAAGAAAAATATCACAGTAATGGCTGGTTGGGTAGTTAAGAGTGTTAGTTCATAACTAGTGTCCATTTTATGTTACAAAACACAAATTTGTAAAAAATAAATTTTCTATGGAAACACAGTGTTCTAAAAGACACTTTAAAAAATTTTGCAAAAGGGTACAGGATGCAACTTCTGGTCAAAACAAATGATGTGTTGAAAGAGACCCAGAATTTTCTTGTTTACATGCTTAGAGTCATTGAAATTTGAAATCAGGTTAGAATTTTAAATTATTTCCGAAACATGGGGACTTTGACTGTAACTGTAAGTGAAGCCTTTGGGCAATGTTTTGGTGATACTCAATGATTTGCAATATGGATGTATTACAGCCAAAAGTTAGTCCAGATAACAGAAAAATGATGGAAAAATATCCATTGATCCAGCAGTTAGGGATTGTAAGGGTTTGGGGTCAAGTTCCTGCACTGATTCATAATAAGAATCCAGATCATGTCTGAAAAAACCCCTAATGAATCCAATAGAAATGTTTTAATTACATACAAATGAAAGACAAGTAAAACACTTTGCTCCTTCCCCAAAACCACCTCTTAAAATATCAACACAAAGTCTGTATAAGGCTTAGTTTACTCTAACTATAAGTCATTCTATTTTGGTTTTATGTGTGGTAGAACAAGTATTCCATTTTGCTAGTGTTTTGTAACATAAACAAAAATTTACTTTAGTTTGACATATTTTATATTTTTTCATTGCCTCATTGATGTCACCCATTCTGCACTAATAGGTGAAACAAACCAGTAATAATGCATGTGTTTTCTCCCTATATTCATTGTCTTTTATAAAGTTCAGTAAATTGAGCTAGAAATTTTGTAGGAATTTCAAAGAAGAAAATAAATTTAAGCTCTTAACTGGGGTTTAGGTGAAGTGTATGGCTCAACTTTCTTAACAGTCAGTAAAAGGTGTTCTAGATAATAAAGCACTTAAATAAAACATAACACAATATTCCAATATGACAGGAGAGGTTCAAATGGACATAGAGATGCATGATACGTTTTTTTCCATATTGGAATATGCTGGGGGAGGGGGCGGGGAAAATGTATTGTATTGTAACATACAGCAATACATTCAGAGTTTAGAAATTCATATGGAAGTTTTGGGGTTTTTTTCTCCAAAAATACTTACTTGTTAAAATACATAAGAGGAATAAATATTCTGTGTAAGATATCACACCTGAAGACAAAAAAAAGTTATGCCATATTAGTTTCACTTTGTCTACACATCCTAAACTTGAAAATATTAAATCTATGTATAAGGAGAATTTTTGTACATGTGCATATGCATATCCATACTCATGTACACGGGACTGTATTCAACCCGGTCAATGAGTTATTTGTCTAAAATACTTATCTATGGGGTGGGTTTTTTTGTTTTGGTTTCATTTTGAGTATTTTAGTGGAGGAATACGTTAAATATGGCAAATAAACAACTACAGTCAGTGGAGAATGGCTCATTAAACAGAAGCTGCCTAGATTCTTAGAAGCTAATATAAATGATTTGTTCAATTTTCTTTCCCAAAACCCCACCAATAATTCATGACAACACTCTCTTAACAGTATGAGAACATTTACTCTGAGAACATTAATAGTGCTCCCTCCTGATATGTACTGTGTGAATACAGTTCTTGACTTTAATATGTGCTTTTTAAGTGCGTGTCCTATAATAATTGAAAACTTGGCCTCAAGCATAGATTTGGGCTTTTGAGTTGTCTTTATATGCACGTTTTCATAATCATCACCTGAAATTTATATTCAAACTCTTACTAAATGAATGTCTAAACTTTGTTAAATATTTTTAAAGCCTGTTAGAGACATTTGTATTATCTCATCTTCTACATTCAGAAGATCTGTAAGGAATACATTCTGAGCTTTTCATCTCTCATTAGATGGCAAAAGGCAATCACATTGTGGACTTGCACTTCATTTTCTCTTCAGAAGTGATTAAGGCAAAATTTAAATTAGAACTGAAGCCAATATCCAGAGAGTATGTCTGGTACCATAACTTGTACTTCTGCTTTATTAGCTCTGGAGTAAAGAGATAACCTTGCAGAATGCCCATAGTACCAGTGAAGAGAAGCATCTTACAGTTCAATAAGAACTGAAAACCATGACATGCAGCTCTCCCAAAAGCCCTTAGCTCTAATGATCTTTGAGGCTGAACTAGCAAAACTGGTTTCTGATTTCCAACCAATTGATTTCGTCTGTCCTCCAAAACCAAAAGTGTTAACAATATTAAAATATTCACTATTTCAAAAGAGTAAAAAAAAAGTATTTAGATGCCTGAGAGTAAAGATGTTTATCAGCTGGGATTTTCAAAAGTTGCTGGCTGTCTCCTTGATTTCAGTCCAAGTCAGGTGCAAAAGTTTTTCTAAAACCAGCCACATCTTTGGATGTTTAAATATCTTTTAAAATCTGACTTAACTGAATATGTGACAAACTATGTAAACAGTCACCTGAATTTTTTTCACTGAAAAACCTGTACAATTAAAACTCAGAACATTGTATCATTCATGTGGATTTTACTATTATTGAACACATTTAACATCAGCACTTCAAACACTGCCAAAGTAAGAAACTTTGGCATTTTCTACTAATATTTATAGCACAAAAAGCTCTAAATTAATTCTGTCCTGAAATAATACTCAGGAGGGACTTTCTGTCCTCTTGAATAGCTGAGATTTTCAAATTTTCAAATCTCAGCTATATTTCTTTTGGATCTGTCCAAATGCATCCTCAAACCTTCAACCATACAATACTCCCTAAAAGCCAACTGTCCTGAAAGAGAAGCACCTTCAAGAGAATCAGGTCTCCTATCCTCAGACATATAAGAAAAAATAATCAACCACACAGATATCCACAGATATCACAGAGACTTTCTAAATTGTCTTTGGAACCAAATCACATACTTGAAAGAATCACTAAAACCCTCAACCTTTACCAGCTGAAACACTGCCCTCCCAACTTCCATTCCATTCGTGGAAAAAAAAAAAAAGGCATTTTCCCACCTTTTGACCCAAGAGCAAATTTAAGTCTTCAGAACCAAGATTTTAGTACTGCTAGTAGTTCTACTAATGAAGGCTACTAAGTATTTTTAATACCACCTACTCTTTTCCTCAATTTACACATAGCTCCACACTGAAGAGTAGCAAAGATTAAATGCAGGCATTTAAGTAACATATGCTCTATGCTTTATCTTCTTCATTTTATACAGCAGCTTGCAGAAATTACTTTTCAAAGGCCTGCTTGAATCTGTTTGGACAAGCAGCTATCAAGAAATCAGACACCTCAAAGGTTCTCTCATTCAGTGATGTAAAACGTTCCTTAATAGCCAGTCAATAAATGTAAGTATGTATTTTTGTTTGTTTGATGACACCTTCTTTGTTGTAAAACAGAGGAAGAAAGTGCAATTGTCATGTAGTCCATCACAGGTATGAAGACAGCAATATAAAAGGCCTTGAAAGCATTCTCTCCTTTTGTTTGTACTGGTACATTGTGGCTGTAGACAGATAGTTCTGGTTGATTGCTCTGAGTATTACCAGAGAGAGGCTCGAAATCACGATTGAACAGAAAGAAAAGCTTACACTAAGATCAGAAAGAAGAGAGGGAGGTTACTCAAGGGTAAAACATAAAAATAAAACTTAAGGAAGACTGGCATAAATCTATGTGGATCATCTGATTTAAATTAATCTATGGCAAAACAAATGGATGTAGGCTTTTGCTACATGCTTCATATTAAAATGTGCATGTTTTAAAGAAAATGAGTAAATTAATAAATTAAAAAAACCCCACTAGGTTAGAATTAAGGAGACCTGAATTCTATTCCCATATCTCTCACTGGCTTACTTAATGACCTTATCAGTTGTAAGACCCACCATCTTTTATTATATTACCTATAAAAATCAGATAATGGAACTCGCTTTCTTGTAAAGCATGCTGGAACGCTATATAAGTGCTACAGTTTATTACTACTTTTACCAGCTTATTATGCCAGTTCTGAGTCCTCTTAACTCCATCAACTTCTGTAGAATTTCACTGGCAGAAAACTGGAGTAAGATACTGTTGAATCAAGACTGTACATGTTGCAGATATTTTATTACAGACTTAATAAGCAACATCCAGATATGTTTTTTTTTAGCTGATAATGTATTGATTTAACAGATTCTGAAGTTGAATTTTTATATAATTAATATTTCAACAGTCAGCTGTTCTGACTGTATAGAGAGCAGCCTAGAGCAAGGAAATACAAGGAAATACAGTACAAAGAGGTGCCAGTTTCTGCCTCTGGAGTTCTGGCTGCAGACTCAGGGAAAAAAGTGAGTGCCTCCATGCACTGCAGATTCAAGCCCAAGACCCTTCTCTGAGGGTAAGTGCATACTTCTTTAATAAATTTGAGCTGCATTTGAATTAGATGCATCAATTACATGCACACATTTGATTGGAATTTTGTTGCTGGCATGCTTATTTTAAACATTCATAAAGTGTTTTTATTTTATAGCAAGTACTTGCGGCTGCTTTTAAAAATATTTAAAACGCTGCACCAGACCTTTGCCGTTCTGAATACAAGCAAGTGGATTATTTATCATAAATAGCTTTTAAATGTCTGTATACAAGCCATTATGGGGGAAGGGGTTTCTGTGGTTTTTGTTTTTGAAGTGATAGAGCTTATTAAGAAAGAAAGAAAAAAAAAAAGAGAGGGAATCAGGAGTGGCTCTTGGCTCTTTCTTTACCAATAGTGTGAGTTTTAAAAGCTATCAAAGCCTTCATCTGCAGAATTTAAAGGGATATATGGCATTTCTCAAACTGTCTCTTTGTGTTGTTAAGAAAATGCTTATTCAGCAATATAAGATACCATTACTGTCTTTAAAAATAATCACGTCATTGAACCTATTAAAAAAGGAAAGAGATCTTCTGTCTTTATTAGAATATTCTATCTATGGTGTACAGATTATTCTTCATTACAACAAACTGAACTTGAAACATTCAAACATCAGTTTAACAAACTCTAAGATACCAATTCACTTAAAGAGGCTAGCTGTAAGATGGCGTGATTAAAACACTGTAGAGACTAAAGAGAACTTTTCCGTGCTGTAAAATGTAGAAAGCAACAAACATTTTTTATCTTCTTGAAGATGTGACTCAGATTAAAGTACAAGTGACTCAGATTAAAGTACAACATCCCTTTAGCCACAATAAATTAATACAAGTGATAATTTGCTTCAGGAAAATAAATTCTTATGCCTCACCTTTCTCATTAAGATTACGGAAAAGTTTGGATGATCCTTTCCAAACTGGTGGTGTCTCCATAAGGATCTGATTCAGTTCCTAAAAATAAGATTTAAAAAAAGATAAAAGTAAGTATTTAAATATTTAATGAAGTAGTTAACAGATTATGAGTAAATGCTAGGAAATCAATATAAAAGACAAGGAACTGCATGCAAATCTACCAGTTAATTTAACTTCAGTTTACCACAATGACTTTGGAAGTACTCAAGCATATATATAGATTTTGCACACGTGATTATTCTAAGGATCGCTCATCTGCATGAATACTAAGTGTTTGCAGAGTTGGAGAGAGACATGTAACGTATTCGGTGCTGAAATTACTCACCACTGCTCATATTCACTGAAGCCAAGGATAAGTCCCCCTGGATTTCAGTAAGGTTTTCATACAAGCTCCAAGCAACTGTTCTTTTAAAACACTCAACCTGAACTAAAGCAAACTTCACCCATGAATACGTATCTACTTTACTTAAAATACAGGGATACAGACAGAGTCTTTTTGCAGTTGTACAAATGTAAAAAAAAGAAAAAAAAATGAGAGGCACTTAAACATCACAAAAGGTAGAGAGTGGAGTAAGTATTTCAGGCAGCTTTGGATACACCTGTTACACTTAGACACTAAAGAAACTCAGTCAGATACAGGCTGAGGAAGGAACTGACAGGCTTGAAAAAGTCAGTAAATCCAACATAACAGGCACAACTGCTCAAGTATCTTTGAGCTTCTGGATTCAGCTGAGTCTGAAGTGACAAAAAAAAAAAGAAATTAAAGTCTCTCTTTTTTTTTTTTTTAAATAAAGATTTAAAAACTCCCTTATTTCTCCTATGACTCTAAGTTGACATCATGAAAGAAAGTAACTGTGTCAAAATCTATGGTTATAAGACAGCACAGGAATTACTGCCCACCTGCTTTGAAAGGGATCGCCACTTTTTAGCACCTGCAACAAAAGACAAAAGTTATGAACACGCAGAATTTAGTTATGCTAACATGGTGTCATAAAAATTAGACTGCATCTAGACTGTTTTCTAGCCAAAGAAGTTATTTTCCCTACTTCATAAGGATAATCTTCAACCTGGTTCCAAAAAATTCTCTTTATGTTATTAAAAAAAAATTAGCTTGATACATACGTAAACTCCTAACTTTAAAGAACCAATTCACATGTATAGTTTTTAATCCAACTCAGCTTCAGTGACACAAAAGACTTTCTATCTGCAAAATACACCATTAAAACATTAAACAGGAAATAGAGGGCATTCATGTTAACAAGTGGTATCAATATTCTGAAATTATTGTTTAGTAGCAGCAGTATTACAAAGCAGACTGTAGGGAGACCTGGATTCTGGCCCTTGCTTCAGGGACTACTCATAACTTTTAAAGCAAATACAGAAAAAAATGCTTGAAACTACACCAGGGTGCTAAGACTCCCTTCAGCCATTCTTAGTAACTCAGACTCATCCTTCCTTTTACAGCCTCTGTCAGGCTCAATTTTTTGTAAGTAGTTTGAACAAAGGAGCTGAAGAGGGCCTCCAGTTCCAACTGGAACTACTTGTTAACACTGAAAACTTATGAGGAAGACTGAGCAGATGCTTTCTTCCTAATGCCTTACATGACAGACTCCAGGACCAGAGAAAGATAATTGCATTCGACAACAGTTGTCCACAACCATCCAAGAATTCAAACTTGAGGTTCATCACCACCCTCTCAAGACAAACATTTGCACAGATTCAATACTGAGATAAAGCACTGTGAATATCAGAATTCAAAGGTACAAAAAGTAGCACAGTATGTGGTCAAATCCTTAATTTTCTGGTTGGTAAAGGCTCGTTTTTATAGAGCAAAACACTCTGTGGTATTAGAAATCCCTTCCTCATGATGAACTCCATGCTCCGTTAAATAATTATCACAATACAGAAGCTACTCTATGGTCTTTCATTAGTTCATGGTTAGAAACTCACTGAAATTTTAGTTTTCCATCTTGGTAAAGGTAAGCACCAAGACCATCTGCAGATCCCACTCTAACTATGGTGGACTTATATCAAGCACATCACAACACGAGCTAACAGATTTTCATATACTTTTCAGTTTAATTTTTTAATGTCAATTAAAGTCTTGTCTCAAAATACTAAATAAAGGCCCAAAACCCAACCCAGTTGCCATATAAATTGATATACGTTTATGCCTACCATAAAAAACTTGGGGAATAAATACATCTAACTTTCCAATCTGAAAATTTAAGTCTCATACATTATATATAGATTTCCATTCTAGTTGAGCAAGTGAAGATTTATGTTTATATACACACTTTTTACAGCTCAGTATTAGGCTAAAATTACTATAGTTAGAGCTAAAGGGAAAAAAATGTATTTCCTCTTCTCTTAATTGGCTTTCTAAATAAATAAACATATATTCAGATGATAAAAATGTATCAAGCATGACTGTTAAAAATACTGTATTTTCCCAAATGAAAGCCTGAACCATAAAGGCAGCAGCAGCAAGTTAATTATAGCATTTATTTTATATTTTTAAAATAACCGCCTGGAGTCGAAAGTTACATTTTATAAAAGAAAATATACTCTTACCATATTAGTTAGTGTTTAATCAAAAGAGGAAGTGAATACCCTCTTGACTTTTCTAGGGTTTACAAGATTTCCAAAGTAAATCAATCACAATAGACGCATTCACTCCATCACAAATCTCATTCAGGTCTAGTATTATTAGCTTTTCTATAAAGCAGACATAAAGAGCTACTATTATTACTCTTCAAAGGGTATTTTTGCTTTTTGACAAAACTTAAGACCTTTCTAGACTTTATCCATAAAAAAACCCAGATGTATGTTCTTTCTTTTTTCTGCAAAATATAGATGCTCTAGTATGTCAGCCCAAATGGATGCAATTATTTACAACTTGCAACTTATTTAAAAAATTATCAAAAAATACAAAATGTTTAGAATGTATTATTTTATTCAGAAAAATACCTTCCTTAAACTTCCTACCTTCAATAGGGCAAGACAGAAAATTAAGACTTGCCCAAACAGACAAAGTGGTACTTTGACAAAGCTGCAGTACAAAGGTTAAAATTAACACTGTCAAAGATCAGAAGCTGGAAGTGGTAATCTGCAGGTCATCTACTTCATCTACTACCTCCTACTTGTCAGCCTTCTGTCCAAATGTCCCAGACAGTATGACCTCCACTGTAACGAAGTCATCCACTTCTACTTAGAGCCTCTCACACTATCCCTTAAAATAATTCTCAGTCATGTAATCTTTGATACTAGTCTATAAAAATAAAGGACATCGACATTAGTTTTGCTTTCAGTCTCAGAGATGAACTGGATGCACAGGAAGGATTTTGATGCAAACAAGGTTTGCTACACTGAACTCCGAAGGGTGCCTGACTATTCAACTCCAGATCTCTTCTCCTTTGGCATGAGATGAACAGAATGTCCTTGTGAGCTTAATGTTTTTGGTTTGGTTTTGTTTTTAAAATCTGAATACTTGCTATGAGAGAGGAGAAAGCATAAATTCCATTAGCATGGAAAAACCTTAATAGTAAACCATACATACAGTGTGGTAAAACCAGTCAACCTGTCACAAAATGGAGTTAAAACAAAATGTTTAACTGATGTCCAGTATATGGCACAAAAGCTTCACGGCCATACATGGTGAAACCCAATTCCACAGTAACAAAAAAAGGAAGACTTGGAGAGCTGGGCAGAGGAAGTAGATATAAAGTGCTGATGTGTATTTGTATTAACTTCTGTGATAAGGAATCTGCTTCCTCTCTTTTAACTGCAGAGCACAAAAAGGAGAATGACGATTTGCTTTCTGGTAAGAGTTTCAAAGTTTTTCAAGTTTTCCCCATCTAAGCTCTATCTTCTGTCTTCACTCTTACAATGAGATTATATCTTTATTCAAAAGTTACAGAAGTTTTGATCACTGATATGCCATAGCTGAATTCTTTCCTCTTGTTTCATTACTGTTAAGAGAACAAAGGAGAAAAAAAATCTAACATCTGCACAGACCTTTAAGCTCTGCTCTGACTGTTTTAGCTGCTTTTGACTGTTCTCTATACTAGCTTTGTGGTGTAGACTTTAGGAAGAAAGACCTAAGGTGAGTTATTATACATGTCACACCTGAGCAAAGATATTCACTTTCCCCAGAAGCTGAGTGCTGCTACCAATGCACTGCAAGCCTGAGGGCCAGGAAATCAAACTAGATCAGAAATGGATCACCTTACTATTTAGTCACTCTTTGATACTTAAAGCAAAAATTTTACAATAAGTGAACTAAAGCTGATAGTTTGTTTTTCATTAATTTAATTAACACATAGTGCTAACTCCGGCAACTTTTAAGTGTAGAAAGTGGATCCCCTGGGGGACTGAAAATCTTACTCAAAGCATGTTATTTAGAAAGCTGTGATACAGTTATAAAATCTCTGTAGGGAAAAAAAACCCCAACACAATAGCAGATAACAATTTAAGATGGCAAAAATTGCAAAACAATGTTATCCTAAATTAGAGAACTCATATCTTGCTTGCCTGTTTACACAGAAACTACACAGAGGAGGAGGCAAGAGTTTTATAGCAATACTGGCCTGCTCAGAAAGAAACTGTAACTGTGTTAATGCATAATGGTACAAATGAACTTCTTGTTTTTCATGCCTGTTGAGCTCTCTGTGACCTCTAAGACAAGAACGTTTAACTAATGGCTAGTATACAGATGTTTACAATCCAATAACAATCAGGATACTGATTGTATGCACTTGGATACCATTAAAAAATAAAGTTCTGGAAGATGCAGTACCTTTTTACCACAATGAGAAACAGAAGTAGTAATCAAGACAAATGGAAAAATAACATACACCACCAGCATTTTCCCTCGCAATTTTATCCATATAAAACTCCTGCTTACGTTTAGGTTCATCATTTGTTACAGCCTGAATGAAGTCATATGGAGTCATATATAGCTGTCCTTCAAATTCTAAACTGGCAAACCTACGAAACCGTTGCTCCCGAGGAGTTGCATAAAGGTGTAAATCTTCAAGGTCTGATCTGTTTTCTGTAACCTTCAAAGACAGAAGGAAACAATTTTAATGTATGAAAAAAGTTTTAGTTTACAATTGCCACTGCCATTCACCACAAAGAAACTCTAAATGTACAGGTGATAATTTGTAAAGTCAAATGCATCCAAATATTTTTGTATGGTAAAAGATGAAATTACTATCAGGATTCCACTGCTATAATTTTCAGTCTTCTACAATTTTAGCAATAAATCTATATGCATTGAAATTGTTGACACTACCCAAGCTCAGAAAAAAAGAAAGAAAAACAGAAGAAAAAAAAAGAGAACTTAGGCTCTTGAATCATAGAAAAAGGGGCAACTTTAACTCAAGGAAGTCCATGTAACTTCAGGAGTCAGACTTTAAACAACACTGCTAAAATTATTTCAGTTGTCTGACATTTCCAGAAGAGAATGGAATAACACTTTTTTAATATTGCCTCTTAAGGTAGAGCGCAGATGTTGACAATAATAGGCAAGACACCTCCATAATATACTCCAGTGTAAATCTTCTACAGATACTTCTATGTCAAGTATGCAATGCAATTAAAGCTACCATACTTGGGGGAACAGAAGAAGAGCAAAACTATTCCTCCAGAGTTACAGAAGTACTATATGGCATTAAGTTCACACCTCATGAGAGTTTACAAATGTCAGGAGTTTCTGGTATATTTACCATCCAGCTGATTTACATGTAAAATTAGTAGTACAAAACTGTAAGTGTTCTAAATTATTATATCTTTGTGTTACACTGTCAAACCTTTTAACAGAAAATATGCTACCTACCGCTATCTGAAAACTTTTTTTAGCTCATAACAAGGCAAGCTCCTCTGTGGAATCAGTATCTTCAAGAAATTGTATCTTGAATGTTTTTTCAGAGATGAAAAAAACAAACTCGAACTGTTTCATAAAAGGAAGAGCAATGATATAGCTAACTTCTCCTAGTATGTTAAAATAGGAACGCAGCATCTTACCAGTGAAATATCCCAAGCTGCCATTGTCCTCACTATTCTTGTCATTTCATACAGTATCCCTAAAATTGTTCAGGTGTCAAACTAAGGAAAGGCAACAAGTAGCACATGGTTTAACTAATGTTTCTGTTTTCTTTTAATAACTAAGAGAACAGCCAAATACACTTTGTTTTTCAGAAAGGCATCTAAACACAAAGACGAGTTGGGAGATGTCTGCAGTTGCTGTCCACTAAGAGATAACAGTCCTCAACTACAAATGGAAATTGGTTTTCCAAAATATTTCTAAGAATAGGTTTCAGATTTCAGCAATTAGAAACAAAGGCACATTTATATCGGGCAGTAAAAAATCTGGCCTCGCTTTCCTTCTGCTTTCCAAACAACATCCTTAAAAAATAAAACATTAGTAAGACTACTGCACTGAAACAAAATAGACACATCAAATGAATGTGTCTAGAAGAGGTCAAACACTTTCTATTTGGAAAAAAAACAAAAAAAACCCCCAAAATCACATGTATAATCACAATGTAACAGAAGACTCACAATTTCTTGATTTTATGTATGGGAGTCTTAGTACTTCAGTGCTTTATCTAAGACATTTTAACCAGCCTCTAGAAGGAAAAAAGACTATTGACTGTGTAGTTCTCTTTCTGGACTGTCTCTAGTCTTTTTGAAATTATTGCTTCTATCGTGTGTGTGTGTGTGTGAAAATGTTTCATTTCAATGGAAAAACTGTCATAAAAAGTAAGAGTAATAGAAATGCTTATATAATCACTTAATTTTCAGTAGACTGCTCTACATACAATTATTCTGCACTGCTGCCTGAGAAGCAGCTTTAAACCTGGTCTTTGGGGGTTTTATCATTTTCAAATTATTACCAAATTACATATGGGGAGAAAAAAAATCTGACAGCCAGACCTACAAACTCCCCTTATAATGACAGAAAAAAGCTTAATTCTCTTCTGACATACTCACATGCAAGTCAAAATATTTCTGTCCTATCTCACTGTTTGAATATTACAGTCTTACTGATCCTTCAGCAGTCCAGTGGCATTCAAACTATGCCTTCATGTGGGATTTACATGACTCAATTGTTTTGGTAAAGCTTGTAGCAACATAACTGATTACCCCTCTATTTGAAGTTTAATAATCTATGTTATTTTTTATATATGTTATTTTATCACTATTACGAACATGCTTTTGAATACATGCAGATTGTAAGCATGAGTAACAAAGCAGTATTTCTGCAAAGTCAATTTTCAGAAAAGAAACTGCTTCAAGGCCATATTACACACGCAGTATGTATAATCAATTGTAATCAGTCATAATCAATCATACATAATCAGGAGAATCTGTAGGTAAGGTACCACTCAAGATTGAGATTCTTTGCTCTCTCATGAAATTCTACTATCTCAGGTACTCCTGCTTAATATTTTGCTTGAGACAATTAGAAACGCATTTACTAAATTCTCAGACATATTTCACCATTAAGTACTCAGTGCTAACAGAAGTATAAAATAACATACTGTAAACATGGAATTTTCAAGACACGCTTAAACTTAACTCAAGTCAGTACTCAGGTCTGCAAAACTTTAATTTCTGCCTCATTTTAGCCACTCTACAGTCTCCATCTGACTATATAGCAATGCCATTATTTCATGTTCTGGCTCAAAGTCATTGTAACCTGGTACGAATACAGCCTGCCACCAAAAAGAGCAGTACCTCCCTAAAGGCTCAATACCTGCATGCCCTTGCTCTGGCACTTTGTGCTGATTTTTCCAAGCATCAAACTGGATAAGGGAACTGGTCTGACTGAGAACTTCTGTTTTGGTGGTGGTGGTTTTTAGCCAGATAAATGCCTGGATCTACCCCACAAGAACAGTTATTTGTTTCAAAACCTAGGCCACAGGAACTTGCAGCTTATAGAAAAGAAAGCCTCACCTGTTCCAGCAGCACACTCCACCTACTTCAAGTTAAAGTGAGGGGAAAACTGCAAGTTTAAGTATAATTTTATTCCGAGGAATAAAAATACCACTTTATTTTGAACCTTGTGGTTTTATCTGAAAGAATCAAAACAAGTTGTTTCCGCTATTGATCCAACATGAATTCAAACAAACGTACACATGGCTTAACATGTATTAGATCACCGGTCCTTACACTAAATGTCTAAATAAAAGCAAGGTTTGGTGGCAGAATACTCCAGGCACACACCTTAGCAAACTGACAAATAAAAACATCTTTGGGAATACTATTATTTTTTGTCCAAATTTCTTGTTCAGAGCTTTCCTTCTTCTATTACTGCTTATCAATTTATGAAACATTCAGCAGCTTTAAGTCTCTTGCATAAAAGCTGTAATTATTAGGAACTAATCAATATGCTAATTAAAAGCCAAGCCATTCTAAAGTATGACCTCAATTTGCACATCTTCAGGCATTCATTTAAGCAGCCTCAACACATAAAGATGAAATGTCTCCTGTTTTCCCCAACATCAGCAGATCATAATCCAGTGAGATAAGTATGAGAATCTTAGTGACACCAACTGCTCCCAGTTGATTTATTTCATATTTATGCCCAGGTTAGGCAATCTTATTGTAGCAGCATTAGTATCAAACCCAATGGACACGTGAATAAGACACAGAAAGTAGATGTTGAATACCTCAGGGAAGGTACTGTTGGTAAAGGAGTGAACAGGATTCAGTAAGATTCCAATTTCTTTTTGAAGTTTCAAGGGCTTATCCAGACTAAATCTCTCTGTAATTATCAACAATCTTCAAAAACTTTCATGAAAGTACATCTCTGACAAACAAAAGAGGGGAGATTTTTTTATGCTTCTGTTTACTAATCCTCTTGGCAATCCTGCCTACTAATTACTATGATCTTGTATCATGTTATGGTTCTCTGCCTTTTAAAAACTGGACACATTCATTTCCTTCAAGCAGAATGTCACGAATCTCCCAATAGCAGTATTATCTTAATTTTAGGCATAGCAGTTTAGCTCTGGTTTACCTGCACATGTACACTGACCTACTTTGTTATTAGAACTTTTAGGGGAATAAAAAGCCCCAGAGCTAAAACCAAGAATCTAGCTGGTAGCCAGAATTTCCATCCTTCCAACTTCACAACTCATGAAGTAAATAAAAAGAGGCAAGACCGAAGCTCATCAGCACTCATGAACAATATATTATCTTTTCTCTATTCTCAAAAAAATCTAAGTGTTAATAGTTGTAATCAACCAGCTCATGGTTATCATCCTTCCGCCCTTCCTCCCGCAAACTCTGGTACCTTGTTGCTCCGTATTTCACCTCCCACCCCCTGTCCTCCTGTGCCATACCCTTGCAGAAGGACTGCAGAGGGAACACAGCGCCTTTTGGGGGCACTGCTATGCAAGGTCTTGGCTTCCATCTGCCTTCTGCAAAACTAAGAACAGAGACTGTGTGGCTCTTCCAAGCTCAGTTTATATCAGCTGAAGAGAAAAAATTATCTTGGCCCATTTTCTTGCTGTTCCCTGACACAGAAATGTATATACACATACCTAATTCTCAGACAGAGGAGACATTTCAAAGCACTTTCTAAAATGGATTAAATGGATTCAGCACTTATATGCAAACCACCACAAGGCAAAGGAAACAAGAGGGAAACATTTCCCATAAGAAAGTCCCTTTTAACATCAGCTTATCAAAACAAGGTAAGTAAAAAATAAATGGAAGACCAAATAGTAATTTGGCAGGGTACTACTCTGAACAGAGAGTATCACTCTTCAATTAAGTGCACTTCCATTGTAAATCTATGCTACAAATGTACTACTAACAGCTTAAAATATCTGGAAACAGCCAGAAAGGTTTCAGATTTATTATGCAAATGAATATATGAGGATAATGCTCTCTCACTAACATATTTCAAGGACTTAATTCCTAAAAACTATTTTCTGGAAATACTGTATTTAGAGAGGGCCACTTAAAGCTACAATACCACCACATGTCTCAGAGTAGTAGTCCTTTAGATGAAGGTCTTTGTTATGGACACTCAACATTTTTAAGTCAATCAACTTTGAAAGCATTCCTTGCAGAATCTCTTTTAGAGTGATACCCCTCTGTATTTTCTCCCTCTATTCACAGCAAAAACTTGAATGAAGAAAATCTAGACTTTCTATCAAGTAAAATTAGTGTCCAAAACCCATTCCTATTTTGGGTTCATCTTTCATGTACTGTGTCTATTGATGGAGACAAATCAAAATGCCCTGAAAGTCTGATGCTCTCCACCAAAGTTTTCCATGTATTACTTGCACTTCCTTGAAGCATGAGCTAATCTCCATTTCTGGTCCCATGTTTGTCTTACTGGCTCTCTTCCCTCAGAGATATTGTCTGTCTGAATTCAGCGTAACATGAATTAACCTGTATGGCCTTCCAATGAAATCCATGCAATAACTCTACATTTCTGTAAGAAGGCCTAACACAGGACATGAGCTTACAGAGTGACACTAAAATAACTAAAATTTTGCAGTAAATGACCCCCAAACTATCTGAAAATATCAATATGGCTCAGGTTCAGTGGAAGTAAAATGCAGAAGATAAAACATGACATCATTACCCTTTCTGTTAAAAAACACAAAAGAAATGTTCTTTGCCAAGTGTTAGTCTCATATTACATTGTCAATAATTCAGAAATTTTATTCTGTGGCAAAAGACCTGGTTTTCCCATAGAAACAAGCTTAAATGCTACATACAGGGTTTTTCACTTGCAAATTAGAAAAACTGATGCCTACAAGCTCATAAAGCTCTGCAAAAGTAATCTGCAAGAATCCATTATCAAAACCCAGAACAATACTCCAACTCCCAGATTCCGAGAATATCTACAAATAATGCAAAATATTTTACAAAACAAATAGGTAAAAATATACATGCTGTGTGTGAATGCATATGGGGCAAAAAGCTCCAACAGTATCACACAAAACCCCACAACTTTGCTGTCTTCCAAGTCAAATCAGCGTTCTCTTGCTTTTCCAACTGAGATAAAGGTGAGACTATTTTAG